AATAAAGAAGTTCCTGAGAACTACAACTGCTTCTCGTGTCATTGCCATTTCGTGAAGGACGCAACAAGAACTAAACTGTAGAACAAATATATGAAAGAAAAAATGGGAGAAAGGAGAAGATGGACAATGTTATGGCTGAGTGGGGTGAATGAGGTTCTGAAAAGAGCAATGAGAAATATAATTAATAAAAGCAACATATGAAGTACAGATAGTCATCAACTTAATGACCACAATTGAGCCCAAAATTTTTATTGCTGAGTGAGACATTTGTTAAGTGAGTTTTGCCCTATTTTATGACCTTTCTTGCCACATTTGTTAAGTGAATCATAGCAGTTGTTAATTTAATAAGAGGGTTTTAAGTGAATCTTGCTTCTCCATTGATTTGCTTGTCAAATCTCAAAAGATGATCACACTGTAATTGTCATAAATATGAGTCAGTTGCCATGTTTCTGAGTTTTGATCAAGTGACCATGGAAATGCTGCAATGGTCATAAGTGTGAAGTCACTTTTTTCAATACCATTGTAACTTTGAACGATCACTAAACAAGCTGTTATAAGTCGAGGATTACCTGTAATGAACAGAGATAGACTGATGGAAATAGGTCTGGTTTGCAAGGATGGAAAGATAGAGAGGAGCAGGTAATAGTGAACGCTATTGGTATTCATTATGTTTACCTATATATTTTTTTTCTTAACCAGGCCTTTCATTTCCTTGGCTTAACGGTTGTTACTCCTTTTCTGGGCTCTGTATACAGTTTCTATCCCAAATACAGGTAGATATCAAGTTACGACCACAATTGAGCCCAAAATTTATGTTGCTAAGTGAAACATTTGTTAAGTGAGTTTGCCCCATTTTACAACTTTTCTTGTCACAGTTGTTGAGTGAATCATTGCATTTGCTAAGTTAGTAACCTGGTTGTTAAGTGAATCTGGCTTTCCTGATGACTGTGCTTGTCAGAAGATTGCAAAAGGGGATCACATGACCCCAGGACACTGTGACCGTCATAAATCTGACCAGTTTCCAAGCATCTGAATTTTGATCATGTGACCATGGGGATAGTGCAACAATCATAAGTGTGAAAAATGGTCAGTGCCGTTATAACTTTGAACAGTCACTAAGTGAACTGTTGTAAGTCGAGGACTGGCGATTGTTTCATATTTATAAATCATATTATGATCAGCATTTATTTATAAATATGAAACAATCGTCTTCCAACATAACAAACTTGTCCAGATAATAATCTGGCAAAAATCAATCAAGCACATCATATTGTGTAAATATAGCTGAACGGTTAGCTTATAATTCAATATATAATGGAAACCCAGGAATACAGATTAATTTAATCAAGTTAAATATGTCATATGAACCCAATCCATTAGTTCCAAGTACAAATGACAAGTTTTATTTTTTTATACTGCATTTGTATTTGATCTTTTTTCAGAAAATTACATGAACATTTTATCTAATTCTAAATCATATATGATGCTATGAATAAAAAAAGTATTTTAAAAGATGACGCTGATACTTAGGCAGTATCTGCCTTAAAGGATGCTTACATATTTAAACATTTTAAATAAAATGGATGAGGATTTTACCAATTTATCCACTTATACACACACACATACCTTTCTCTTTGCCTTTGTAATTACAGGAAACCAAACAATTACAGGAAAGCAAAGTAATTTAATGATATATTAACTTAAACACAAAATATTAATGTACATGTTTTACTGTTATAGTTCCACACATTAACAAGTTATTTAAACATGAAGGACCTTCCCCCACTCAGTTCCAGCCACCATACAAATAATCCCTGGCGGCATCTTCACTTGGCCACGTCCATCTTCCTTAGTCTATGTATAAGATAACCTCAAATCAGCCTTCATGTTTTGCTCTTAAGCCAACAGCAACCAGTAGCAGTTTGAAGATGTATCAAACCTGATGCACTTCATCAGCCACACTGTCAGAAATCCAGTCAGTGACTATATGGGCCAGATCAGCTGCTCCATAATCACTTCAACCTGATATGACTGTCCTCTCATTCCAGGTTCCCATGGATTTCTTCCACCATCATTATTCTGCTTCCTGCAAACAAAGCTGGAGAGGTGTTTGAAACCTAAGATTATGTAGTAAAGCAGGAGGTTGCAGGGTTTTGAAGATGCCATGTTTTGAAAAAGGCTCATTCTCCTGAAAACAAGAGCCTCCCCAATCCTCTTTGTGAACTTATGAACTTGATCGGCCTTCTTTGTCATATATATAAAGCACAAGAGAAAGGTGGAGTCACCACCGCCCTTTGCATCACTGTCCTGGTTATACATTGGTTTCCAGGTAGTTGATGCCATTCCAAAAGGCAGCAAAGCCAAAAGGTTTAATCAATCATTTTGTAAAACATGTCTTGCATGTTTAGTAAGTTCACCTGTATTCATTGGCCAGTCAAAATACAAGACACAGGAAAGGTATATTGACAGTGGGGAGAATAATTTATGTAGCCATAGTTTTCTGCCAATTTATTATAGTGGATGCCCTGGCAGTGCAGGAAGGCCCTAAAGAGTAAAGTTGAAATCAGATACCATATCAACATGTATAATTGGCACACATTCATGAAAGTTCAATATGTAATGTGAATTCAATGTGTAATGTGCAATTTTTGATTGTAAATTCCACCTTGATGCTACCTCTTCAAAAGTAGTAGATGAACTAATTTGGCAAAAAATCAAAAGGGTTTGTAGCTTACTAAAGACAAATGCCTATATAAAATTTTGTATACTACATTTCATTAGGAAATCTAATATGAGTGTATGGGAGATGAATTGATTTCAACTCAAATTTCTCCTTTTAGCATAGCCACTTTGAAAACTCTAAGAAATAGCATCTGCGTATTCAGTTGAGTGTCTCTGTGCCAATCACTTTCTATCAGTCTGCGAGGGAAGCAATAGCAAATCAATTTGAAAAACCTTGCCAAGAAAACTGCAGGGACTTGTCCAGGCAGTCTCCAAGAATAAGACATAACTGAACAGAAAAAGAAAAAACCTGCAGGGTACCCAGGTTGGGAAAGGGTTTTTATAAGGTCAGATCTTAGGAACTATTATTAATGGAAAGATAAGTTTGTTTTGAAGATATAGATTGTGATTTTGTATAGTTTAACATCTCTACGTCCTTACATTAAAGGTCCTTCCAATATGTCTGGATTAACCCTTCCATTATTTTCTGCAAATATTATTAGATAAATTGGCAAAACTGGCATAGAGACTGGCAGTAAGTTAGTTGCACCAAAGGCAATAATCTTTTTTCACATTTTACACAGATTTTCCATTTATAACTACATAAAATATAACATAAACTCAACTAAATATTTTATTGCAAAGGAAGTCCCTATTACCATCTAATCAATAAGGCAGATCATGACGATTGAAATAGAATTCTACATATAGTACTCATTTCAGACTTTCTTTCTGTACTCTTCTTGATTGCATGTTAGTGAGCAAGCATGAAGATATTTTACAGATGTGCACACGTTTTGTTTATGTGTACATGTATTGCACATACTCATATGAATGTCGACTGGAGTTTTGGAATGCCATAGATTCTGTATCCTTTATCCCTTCTATCATAATAAATACCATAATGTTGGTATTTTTGTGTTTCATAACATTCAACACTACCTGCAACTAAATCTTTATTACCTACTAGAAAGCTAGTGGCTCCTTTTCCCATGTGATAGAGATGACAAATTGACACAAAGGAATAAATACAATAAATATAATATTCATTTAAGATAAATCTTTAATCTCTATACAGGAACAGGAAGACATTTTTAAAGATAAAAGGAACTAATTTGAATGTGACAAATATTATTTTAGAATTCTTCAACTTTGTCATTTGGCCTAAATAAATTGAAATTAGAAATAAAACAGAGAAAGAAAAATAAAACATCAACTCATAATTAAAGGATTATATATATACATGCTCCTTGAAATAAGTACATTACATACTGGCATCACAAATATGTACACAGTTTGAAATACTGAACCATTTTAGCATACATTAAAAGCTAGCCTCTCAAACGTTTTTTCCTTTTAACTGAAAATCCTTCACGAAGAGATCTGAATCCAGATAGATCTGTTGAAATGGGGCGTTGTCTTACCTGAACGCCTTTTCTCAGTACGGAGATGGAGAACACATACATACACCATGTCCCTCAAGTTAAACTCGGGGCCTGCATTTTTCAAACTTGAATTTATACCGTAATTGCATCTCTGGATCTTGGAATGCAGGCTGAGCTCTGCAAGCAGAATTTGAGAGGACAAACAGTGTTTAATTTTCGTGAAGGGAAAAGAAGTGAAGGTCCAAACTTGGAAATACTATTTTGGTGTTTTCTTTCCAGTCCTTTTCAGAAGTGTGGAAAATTTGCACAAGTCTTGAGAATTCTGGGTAGCACCGGATCAGGAAGAGGCTGCTGGAGTTAACTCAGGGGACATTATTTTCCACCTCTTCTATGAATTCCAGACCTGAATATCTGGGAAAGAATTGGCCGGAGTGGTAGACTGCAAGCAACTCTTTCGCCCTGGTTGTGGCACGTTTTGCATTTGTTTTCCAAAGTTAGGGTCTAGGCGGGGCTCAGGAGCGAGGGCTAGGGTCTAGGAGCGAATTCATGAGCACAAAGATGCGAGTGCGAGTACATATATCCGCCAATTTTGAGTTTAAGTGTACACACGCACACGTTGTCCCTTCCCCATAACCCCGGAAAATTCTGACATTCTACAGAAAATGTAACAATGTACCAGTAAGCAGCGACTCCTCGACAACAACCTTGATGACAGCGGGACGGGGGGGGGGAGAAGAGGAGGAGACAGAAATTACGTCAGTTGGTCGCTTCCTTCGCTCTTCCCTTAAGAGCAACTCCATTGGGCGCCCTTCTCCCCACATCTTTTTCTGCCCTCCTCCGGTGCCCGCCCCGTTACCAGCAAGTTCGGTTGAGTCTCTATTGCAAAAGGTGTTTCCCCCTTCCCCTTCCCTTCCCTATTTGCTACCGCCAATGTTGTAACTGCTGTAAAAGAAAAGGAGGTAGATGCGTTAGGCCGGACTGACCTATCCATCCGATCGACTCTCTCTTTTCTTCTTCCTGCCAGGGGCCTTGCGTTGAGCTGGGGCCCGGTGAGGAGGGGGCATGGCTGCTTCGCCTGGGGCCCGGCAGGCTGCCTGGGAAGCAGCCACGGGCCTTCAAGGGGGAGGTGGTCGATTGTGAGTCTTTTCTTCCTCTTCCTGCCCCGTGTGTGGAGGTAAGTAAATGAAGAGGGGAGGGCAATAATTTGGAGAAGGGACAGTAGGTCGAGGGGCTGCTATGGGAGGGATAATGGGCATGCAAATAGGCAGGGATGGGGTGAAGTAAGAAATGGGGTGGATAAACAGATGTGGGATGGGGATTGGGCAGGAAAATAATTGTTTGCTTGGAGACCTGATTAAAAGATAATTAATTTTTTGGAGGAGCATTGTTCAATAAAGAAATAGGGAGAGCTATTGAATTTACCCGGGCTTACAATGTTTCAGGGACACTGGATTATTCACTGCTGGATACTGAAAGCTTGGCTAAAGGGATCTTTATAATGTAGAGCAACTTTCTTCATTGTATAAAATGGAGTAGATTATTGGCAGACAGTCTTAACAAGAGTTAGCCCAGGATAGTGCTTAGATGTTAGTGCAGGAGAGGCTCTATTAGAAATCTCTAGTTACAAAACTTAGTAAATAATCTTCGGCCTGGCTCACATACATAGTTTAGTCTGCTTCTCTAGGTTGTGGTCAAGATAAAATGAGGGAAGAAAAAAGTTGTGTCCTGCCCTGATTTTCCTGAAAGAGCAATAAGATATAAATGTAGCAAGCATACCAATTTTTACTGAACATATCAGACCTGCTTATCTCAGAATGTGGAATGTTGGAACATACAGTTGAACATTTCCAAAGCAAATGTTCTGCTGTAGGGATAAACCAGAGCAATCCTTGATCTGATAAGGCAGTTGCTGAGCTAGTGAGGAAGAGTAACTAATTAGTTCTGGATGAGGGCAGAATGTGACTGACAACTCCTTTTACCAAATGAAATATTTCCTGAAGGATGTGTGCAAAGCAGCACCCAGGATAAGTGAGAATGAAAAAATGAGCATGATAAAAGCAAGGATGAAAGCCCCTTTTCTCAAAGTGGCACTCCCTAGATGCACTACAGTTGTACTTTAGCTGTATTAGTTTGAGTAATTGGGGTGGAAAATATGTTATTTGTAATTTACCTACAGTCATGGACTTCATATGGACAGCTATAATGAAATGTGGTAATCCTTTTTAAAAAAATATTTATGTAGAAAATTTTGTTTATAAATATGAAATCCCAGCCCTATGTAGATTCTTCCCTTTTTGCTCCCCCCAAAAATTAAAATCTCATCTTCAACTTTTTTTTACTCACTGTGAATGTAATTCGCCCAGTATTCTTCAATATCTTCCTAAATGACCTAGTTAAGGCAATAGGAGGGGAACTCATCAAATTTTTAGATGACTCTAAACTAGCAAGAATGCCAACACCCCAGAAGACAAGCTCAGAATCCAAAAAGATGTTGACAGACTTGAACAATGGGCCCTATCCAGCAAAATGAAAATTATTGTGGAGAAAAGCAAAGTTTTACACCTGGGAAGGAAAAAAACCAAAGGTACAAGTACAGATTAGACAAAACCTGGCTCAAAAACAGTAACTGTGAGAGGGATCTTGGAGTCTTAGTGGACGATAATCCAGCAGTGTGCATCAGCAGTCAAAAAAGCCAATACAATCCTTGGTTGTATAAATGGGCATAGAATCAAAATCCCGTGAAGTATTAGTACCGCTTTATAAAACCTTAGTAAGGCTGCATTCTGGTATACTGCATCCAGTTTTGGTCACCACATTACAAAAAAGATGTTGAGACTTTGGAAAAGGTGCACAAAAGAGCAATTAAGATGATCAAACTACCCAGCTGGTTTCCATGCCTGGGAAGGAACTAGGACTTGGGGTCTCTTTCATTTCAAATCCAGTACTTCAACTTATCTTACAGTGACTCTCATATTCATATATAAGTATTCTTTTTTGTCTCTTCTTTTTTTTACTTAATTAAAAGCAAAAATATGGTATGAAGTAGAAGACTCCGCTAAAGAAGGTAATGCAATTAGGAGGAGCTGAGAGCAGATATTCAGAAAGGTCTGGAAACTGATGGATATAATAAAGCAAGGCTGAATTGGATTAAGGGAGTAGTTGCTTGGAATTCAGAGGAGGCATGGAAGGCACATAATAGCGCTGAATGAATTGTTTCCCAACTTGATTCCAGCAAGTTGGATAGTGGCGACAGGAATTATAGTACAGAAAATTTAAGATCATCAATTCCTTTTATTGGGTTTCCCTTCTGCAATTAAGCATTATTATCTGGTTTTGTTTTTAGACTTCTATCAGTTCCATTTATAGTTACTTCATCTTTGTTTTCCAAGTCCTGTCTCTTTGTAATTCAAAATAGGACTTAGCTCCAACACTTCTTTCTAGAATGTGAAGTATAATAATTAAAAAGGTAAAATTTCCTCAGAACAGAGCACAAATCCGTTTTCCTCTGATGAGTAACTGTGACTTGTACCTCCCCCCCTTGGATTGAGAATAAAGCCATTTGGGGAGGCTCCCGTTTGTTCCGGGCATGGTGCTTGTGCAGCAACCAGTATAACCAGTATAAAGACTGTACATTTGAGCATCAGTTCAGTTTCTGCACTGAAGAGATAAAGCAGTGCAAGAGAAGGGCAGGGTCCAAATTAATCTTACATGGTATTTAAGTACGCATATCAGCTTTTGTTGACCCGAATTGATTCTGTGGCTTGAAAAATAAATTGACAAACAACTGATGAGAGCCACTGATAACAGTTTTTTTTAAAACACACACCAAATTTAGAGGGGATATTTTAACTCTTGCAAGATTTGGTGGCACAGTAGTAAAAGCGGCATATTTTGAGGGCGAGCTGTGAATCAGAGAGGGAGATTAAAAAATGAGATACCAAGGCCCAGGAGGACAGGCGGTTGGAAGTGAAAGCTAGGCTTCAAGACATGCTGTAAAATAAATAGCCAATTTAAATAAGAACTTGATTAATTCTTCCTTATTTTCAAGTTGTATAAATGGCCCAAATAGATGGTAAAACTGACCACCATTATGTAGTCTTGGTGATGAGAAAAGTGGTCTTCTAGTTTTTTTATTAGTTTTATTCATTTATAACATAAAATGTGAAAATAGAAAAGCAAATAGTAGAGGAGAACAGTAGAGAAAGGGAAAAGAGAAAGGGAAAACAAAAAAAGTGTGAAGAAAGGAAGGGGAAGAAACAAAAGGCATTGACTTCCGACTCTTTGTTGTAGTAAAATCAGACATTAAAATCCAATCTCAACTTTTTACATTTCTATAGTAGTATGCACTAACCATTTCTGTATCCACAAATCAGACTAACCAGTAAAACCCAAAATCATAATGTTATTTTTTTTCCACCTCAAGCACAAAGTCCAGAAGCGGTTTCCAAACTCAAACAAAGGTGCTTATGTTCTTTTCTTTTATCAGCACAGTCAATTTGGTCCATCTCTGCTAATTCCATCAGCTTTTGTAATGATTTGTCCATGATAGAAATCGAGGCATCCTTCCACTTTTATGCATAGAGCAATCTTGCTGCCGTCAACCATATATAAAATTAGAGTTCCAAATTTTTTTTCACTTCTCTTTGCATTTTAAACTTCCAATATCAAAATAAATAATAAGGGGCATCCTTGTCTTGTACTTTGAATATCACATGGATCAATTAAATCACCATTAATAACAATTTTTGCTTGCTGTGATGTGTAAATAGATTTAACTCCTTGAATAAAGCTCTCTCCAAAGTCCATTTCTTCCAGGACTTTAAACATAAAAGTCCAATTTAAATTGTCAAAGGCCTTCTCTGCATCTAGGAATATTAAAGCTGCCTGTTTCTCATTATGGTATTGTAAATATTCAATGATATTCAGAACAGTCCTCACATTAGTGTCTTATAGTGTTCCAAATGGACAACTTCCTATTTGGCAGCTGAGTTTAGGAATGGATACAGTGTCCAGGATGAAAGGAGGGTGATTCCAGATGGCTGGCTATAGGGAAACATTAGATCTGGGATATCCTATAATGTCCAGGTTTGGTTTTGTCTTTGTTAAGCAAATGAAGTCTGCATCTGGTGTTAAAGGAGTACTTTCCCCAACAATGGGGTGCCAAAGGAACCTTGAAATTATTACTAAGCTTTGCAAGCCCATCCATTCTTTTGTAAGCTAGCTCTCTTAAAGATTAAGGGATGGATTTCTCTTGAGCAATATAGGGTGTGTATAAGAGCGAGACAAAGACTGGTTTATTTGCATCTTTTAGTCTATCAACTGCAGATGACAACTCCCTTATATTAGAGAAAAGGCAGTTTTGTGCAGTGTTTTCATGTGTATATGGATTACTTTCTCATTTCTCAGTGCCAATCTAACACCCCCTCATGGGGGATTTTTAAAAGCCAACACCCCTTTTTAAAAGGTTCTAACCTTGCAATGATGTAGTAAACATAGATTACATTATTAGTTGGCATTTCATTTTAAAAGTCTTGTAAAACAGGACATTGCAATGTTAAAAAAGCCATGAGTTATACATAGAAGTATATAAAATCTCTGCCTGAGAATATGAATACAATTTTTTTTAAGATGCATTTTTGGATCATGTAATTCTTAGAAGAAAAGAGAGATTTTGAGTAGCACTAATCAATATCAGTGATGCAATGGTTCTATCTTTCATGTATGTTAATGTTAGATTTTTTTTATCCCACGTATATTTTTATCATACACACACACAGACACCCCAATTCTTTTATTAACACAATGCATAGCTGATTTGTGAGCTCCCCATTTGAGCTTGTTGATCTATAATTTCAACCTAAGCTTTTACATGATCATTCTCTCTTTTCAAAAGTAGATAAAAGCTCATTAATATAGATGCTTCTGCCTCTCTCATCATCCCTCCCCTTCAAAACCATTGAAATGTAGATTGCCTCTTTTTCAGCTCTGGGGGCTCCATATTAGCAAAGCTTTTACCGTGCAGCACACAAGCTTGCGAGATTTTTCTTCTATGTCAATTTACAGAAGGATACAACTTCTGATTGGTATCTGAACAATCTCAGAAAAAGAGAAATGGGAGTCAGCAAAAACTTTTGAATCCCAGAAATAGCTAGATTACAATCTAGTTTTATCTAA